TCCAACTTTGATGTCCTTAACACACGTTTGTTCCCTGGCCCACATTGCTCTCGTCCTTTGTTGAAGTTAAACCTGTCATTGCCATTTCACTAATAATAATAATAATAATAATAATAATAATAATAATAATAATAATAATAATAATAATAATAATAATAATAATAATAATACAAAAGTAATCGCATATCCAGCCGAATACGAACCAGATCTGTAAGGGTCATCTTGTTCGTAGACGTGTGATGAACTTCGTAGGCTATGAAGCTGCGCATCTGTTTGGAGGTGTCCTGCAAGGTGTCTGTGCCGGGCACGAGGCGAGCGCAGTCCTTCAGCATGCTGCCCGAAACCTTATCGGTGACCAAAGCGGTGCCGTTGAGGTAAAACTGCGACATTGTAAAAAAAAAAAAAGCATACGAGGCGCTCACGTGAATGACGATTCAGTTTCTCGTTGCACTGTTGCTAGCGCGTAAAAACAGAGCGGAACCTTTCCAAAACCATATAGAACCCTTCCCGAATAGATCACTTAACGGGCACTTCACAATCTTTTGAAAGTACAAAAAAAAAAAGACCGCGATATTATCTCCAGACGCGTATCTTTGTAGTCTTTCTGGCGCACTTCGTGAAGAAGGAACAGTGATGACGGCTATAAAGTACACACATATATATATATATATATATATATATGTATGTATGTATGTATGTATGTATGTATTCTCGATTGGTCCATACACGCGAAATATCAGATCTGAATTGTATGTCCTAACCAGCACATAAGAGATGTAATCCGTTTTATGAAAGGATATATCGTCCAAACCGTGTCCACGCCAGGTTGAAGAATGGAGACAAAAAAAAAACGTGCTATAAGACGGAGCTTTAGGGATGCTTATAATTTTTGTTATTCATGAATATACCTTCTTAGCTGCCAGCAATATGGATATTCAAGGTCGACTTGATTAAGAATACAAAATTGAAATACCGCTGTAATGTGGATTCTTTTTTTCTGCAACTTTGGCTGATTTCTCTTTGATCGCTTCAGCGCATTCAGTGTATGTGAACAAACAGTTCTGCACGAACATTTGAACTAAACATCTGTAGCAAGCGAGCTTAATTATAAGTTCGTTCTCCCCTGCTACCGAGTCGTATCACTTTTGTACGATAGTCTTCATACGAGCTTATTACAAAATACATACAAATCCAGAATACTATAATGGGACGCAGGAACGAAGCAAGTGAGGAGGGGCATAAAAAAACGGACATTACAATCTTAATGGTAGGTTTCTAACTCGAATTTTCATGGCTTGCGGTGGTCGTCGGGTATCTTCTTAGAAGAAGAAATTTTTGTGACCTCTTTAAAGCAGGATTGTAGAATCTCTACGTGTGTTCTACAGGCTGGGCATCAGCGGAGATATACTACTGCTACGGTCGGATATATGCTCCCGCTAAAGGAGGATCGTTTCGGATTGGCCAATCCACTACGCAGCAGTTTCATATCGCTTTTGTGCAGGACGATGTGCACACACGCACCTGGATACTGTCGTCGGACCACCACTCCAGCTGTATCACGTGTGACGTGCATTGTACCGGCGCCGAACTCGTTCGATAACAGATTCGACTCGTAAACCGGTGGCCGTCGTACTGAAGATGCTTGTTGCCAACACTCGCGACGCTAGTAACAGAATCTTTTCCTGTCCTCTGATGGTTTAAATAGCTCGACTGCCATGCGCAACTGATTGCCGAACAAAATCGTACGCCGGAGTGCAGACGCTCGCACCGCAAGCATGGCCGGATAGTCACTCATTTTAGGGAGGGCGGTCGCTTGAAGTTACACCGGTAAAGGAGCAGGGGACTCTTTTGACGCTTTTCTGTTTTAGTATTATTAGAAATCCCATTATAAGAACCCTGTCACAGCATAAATAATGTTATCATTTGTTCACAATTGCCCCACTCATTGGTCCTACTCTATCATAATAAACGTAGACGACAGGCGCTATAGAGGGAGGTGTTGGGGTTGATGGCAGATGCTTTCTCGGGGAGGGGGAGCTCAATAGTCCCCCCCCCCCTCTACTCTACAGCAATCAACATGTTACTTCGCTAGGGTGGCCACCCTAACTTTGCAACTCGTGAATATGCCAGTGTTGTCTAACTATCAGGCCAGCTCATGTTTATAAAAATATTCAGTTATAAATTAAGCTCTCGACCAAGTGGGCTAACATTTTTCCAGCTCGTTTGAGATCGCACAACCCGGGTAAAAAGGATTATGACTGGAGATTGTACATGTGTCATGGCCCCTTTCAAAACTGTACCTGATATTGTTTCCAAGGAAGAGCACATACACGGGTGTACCTGGATATGGTCGTCGGACTTCCACTCCAGTTGCATGACGTGCATAGTACCGGCGTCGATCTTGTTGGATGACAATTTCAAGTCGACACGGTGGTGGTGGTCGTACTGAAGGTGCTTGCTACCAACGTGTAGCTTGAAGTCTACTGGATCCCGACGCCAGTAGAAGTACTTGTTGCTATCATCCAACGCCTCGTAGCACATCTCCATGAAGCTGCTGTAAGAAAGCGAAGGCGCCCAGCCACGGCTTCAGCCTTTTGACTGAGTATTCATCGCAAATCGCTTAACATCATTTGCGCCAAACAGCGGTAAAAAAGCAGTGTACGGGTCGAGTCTGTGTCAGAGCGCAACAACGCAATTTATTTATAGTGGTTAGTTCTGGATATCTATCTATCTATCTATCTATCTATCTATCTATCTATCTATCTATCTATCTATCTATCTATCTATCTATCTATCTATCTATCTATCTATCTATCTATCTATCTATCTATCTGCCTGTCTATCTATCTATCTATCTATCTATCTATCTATCTATCTATCTATCTATCTATCTATCTATCTGTCTGTCTGTCTGTCTGTCTGTCTGTCTGTCTGTCTGTCTGTCTGTCTATCTATCTATCTATCTATCTATCTATCTATCTATCTATCTATCTATCTATCTATCTATCTATCTATCTATCTATCTGTCTGTCTGTCTGTCTGTCTGTCTGTCTGTCTGTCTGTCTGTCTGCCTGCCTGTCTGTCTGTCTGTCTGTCTGTCTGTCTGTCTATCTATCTATCTATCTATCTATCTATCTATCTATCTATCTATCTATCTATCTGTCTGTCTGTCTGTCTGTCTGTCTATCTATCTATCTATCTATCTATCTATCTATCTATCTATCTATCTATCTATCTATCTATCTATCTATCTATCTGTCTATCTATCTATCTATCTATCTATCTATCTATCTATCTATCTGTCTGTCTGTCTGTCTGTCTGTCTGTCTATCTATCTATCTATCTATCTATCTATCTATCTATCTATCTATCTATCTATCTATATTTATATAAACTTCGAGAGTTTCAATATATATATTTAGGAAACAATACGAATATCTATTTTCTCCGAGCAGTTTCGGCTTGCGGTTCAGCTGCACTGCACGATTTTAAAGAAAAGGGGGGGAAAGGCGTTGCTCCGCGAGCCAAATCTAGTTTACAGTGTTCCTATAGTACACTGGAGCAGCCACCACTAACGTTTTAGTAAATGGGGTTTAAATAATTAGTCATAATTATATTTGTAGCTACTAAAGTGCTCACTAAATTACGAAAGCGTCAATGAGGCGTATGCAGGCACGCTCGAATGACACCTAAGCGCGCTAGTTTCAGCAACGTACTAATTGGGCACTTATTTGTTTTTCACGTTGATACGAAAAACCCATGAATTACGAAAAGTTACAGAGAATGTCGCGCGATTCATAAAGCTCTGCCCTCAAACAGGCTCACTGCGAGGTCAAGTAAAGAAAAAAAATCCCAGCATATCCACGGAGTGAATGATGATTGGTGGGGCGAAGTGCTCGTCGGTCCGTCCATCCATTAGTTCTTGTTTGCGTCCGTCTGTCTGTCCATCCATCCATGTGACCATCGGTGCGTCCATCCGTCCGTGCGTTCGCCCCTGCGTCCGTTCGTTCGTCTGTCTGTCCGCCCGTCCATGAGTCTGTTCGTGCGGTCGCCTGTGCGTCCGCCCCTCTGTCTGTTTCTCCGTCGGTGCTTCCATCATTCCGTATGTCTATCTGTATGTCCGTCTGTCTGCCTCTCTAATGGACACTTCAAGTACCACCATCTCACAACTTTTTCATCATGTATTCATCATATACAAGTGCCGCCATCCAGCGGAGATTCTAAGGACCGCTGTTTTGGGTATGTGCCACCGGTGGTTACGCACTACAACGAGGGACGCACAAGCCACGCCACGAGGAGCTTCGCCCTTAAAAACATGGATCGCCGATCGGCATCCCATAGCAACCGCTTTGCTCTTACAGAGTCAGGCCGTAATCAGAACAGCGCTCCTGCCACGTTATGGATGACGACCATGGGCCGTGACATCTAGATGAAAATAGTGGCGCATAACCAAGCGGAATGAATGCCTGCAAGATTGCGACGCATATTGGCGTCCGATCTGTAATCTTGCTAAAGTGCGATTCCATATAAGGCGAAACGCTTGCCTCTGGCAACTGATACAAGGCGAAGCGGTGGCTTGTAGTAAGCTTATTGTAAGGGTGCTGCTTTCTCTTGCGGGTTAACTCCCCTGGAACTTCGTCAGATAGCGGCGTACGTGAAAAAAAAATGAAAAAATAGTGTGCTCGCCTCCCCTCTATCCTCTGCGCTCTCTGCTGAGGCTGCCGCCGCGTCGGTATTGGCCAGCTACCGTCACGTGGGACCGCGCGCAGCGTTAGTTAGTTAGCTCGGGATGCGTGGACTCACTGTTGTAACAGAGCATGTATTTTATTGATACGCACTTGTCATTACGTGCGCGTTTTGCCGTGAACGGTGAAATTCTTCGAACAGGCGTTTGACGTCGCTACTGGTTGCCATGACCACCGGCAACTGCGTGATATTCGGCCAGAACCAGTCTAGCGAGGGCAGAAAGCTCTTGCAGTCCTGTTAGCGCAACAAGCTGCGGCGACAGACTTAGTTGGTCGCACAGAAAGGGAAGGAAGAACTTCAGGCCGCCGTTTTCGACTCGACTTTGCGGGGTAAGTGGCGAGTCCCCCACACATATTATGAGTATGCGTCGTGGTTCACGCAACTTCATGTCAGCGCTAACGCCGTAGACATGTCGCAGTTAATTGTGCAGCACGTCGCCATCTCCCAGGCGCGTTTATCACTGCTTCAGCGGGGTCTTTGTTTTTTTTTTCTGTCTACAATAGGTGATTACGTGATGCGCCGACTGTTTTGAGTTCGTGGCATCGGTGCGTATAAGCCATGCATGCGGGCACCGACAACGGTGACTGCGCCCGTAAGATCAAAATTCACGGATGGCGCTCCAGCAGCCCATCTCCCGCTCTCGTCTTGTCATGCTCGGCTTCGCCTCTCGGCTTGAACATTCGACGGAAATTCTAGTACGCGGCGGATATTATCGTATGTGCCCTCCGAGTGATGGAGATGGGCCCGGCTCGTTCGATATCTGCTTCCAGCCGCGTTAGTCGCCCCCGCGGGAAGAACGTAGGATGTGCCGGGGACTGTTATCGATTCGTACTTTATTCGGGACATGACGGCGACGGCGCAAACTCGTCTAGACTGTCCATAAAATTGCTGTCCGTAAGATGGCCGTGGCGGTCACATTTCGATGAAGGCGAAATGCCAGAGGCACATGTACCTGCGATGCTGGTACACACATGGGCGTTTGCATGGGGGGGGGGGGGAGCGCCTTACCCCCGTATTCACAAACGATCCTTCACTCAAGGGCTCTCCTCGACTTGAAAAAAGTCGATGGGAGCGCCGTCTCTTGGCAGAACAAGTCACTGCATATCGGCAATATTCTGCAGCGATTCTCGAGAAGCGCAGCGTTAATTTCAGTCGAGCAGCGGCGCAGTGTTCAACTCAGTCAAGTGAAGGATGGAATTCGAGACGAGGAGCGTTTCTGAATACGGGGCTTAGTCACCTAAGAGGATGAGAGGCGTAAAGTCGGCCCCACACATTGACATGAAATAGGGAGGGAGAGCGGCAACGTGGGGAAGGGGAGGAGTCAGCACCACACGCTGACATCATAGGGACGGGAAACATTGGGACAAACGCTCCCCCCCCTCCCCCGTGAATGGGAACCCAGTGCTCGCTCATCTATGAGTGCACGTTGAAGAACACAAGATGGTCAAAATTTTCCGGAGCCCTCCACTATGGCGTCCCTCGTAATCATGTACTGGTTTTGGGTCGTAAAATTTCAGATGTTATTATTAACATCACGTGACAGATAGTCACATGACACCTCTATCCAAATCTAACAATACTTGGTCCTACTGGCAAGAACGTAGCGTCTCTTGCATGAGCTTGGTATGAATAGCAAAACTCGGCTAGGTTGAGCACCAGGGTCTTTTCATCATCATCATCATCATCATCATCAGCCTGACTACGTCCACTGCAGGACAAAGGCCTCTCCCATGTTCCGCCAGTTAACCCGGTCCTGTGCTTGCTGCTGCCAATTTATACCCGCAAACTTCTTAATCTCATCTGCCCACCTAACCTTCTGTCTCCCCCTAACCCGCTTCCCTTCTCTGGAAATCCAGTCAGTTACCCTTAATGACCAGCGGTTATCCTGTCTACGCGCTACATGCCCTGACCATGTCCATTTCTTCTTGTTGATTTCAGCTATGATCTCCTTAACCCCCGTTTGTCCCCTAATCCACTCTGCTCTCTTCTTGTCTCTTAAGGTTACACCTACCATTTTTCTTTCCATTGCTCGCTGCGTCGTCCTCAATTTAAGCTGAACCCTCTTTGTAAGTCTTCAGGTTTCTGCTCCGTAGCTAAGTACCGGCAAGATACAGCTGTTATATACCTTCCTCTTAAGGGATAGTGGCAATCTACCTGTCATAATTTGAGAGTGCTTGCCGAATGTGCTCCACCCCATTCTTATTCTTCTAGTTACTTCAATCTCGTGGTTCGGCTCTGCGGTTATTACCTGCCCTAAGTAGACATAGTCTCTTACAACTTCAAGTGCACTATTACCTATCTCGAAGCGCTGCTCCTTGCCGAGGTTGTTGTACATTACTTTCGTTTTCTGCAGATTATATTAAGACCCACCTTTCTGCTCTCCTTGTCTAACTCCGTAATCCTGAGTTGCAATTCGTCCCCTGAGTTACTCAGCAATGCAATGCCATCGGCGAAGCGCAAGTTACTAAGGTATTCTCCATTAACTCTTATCCCTAACTGTTCCCATACGAGGCTTCTGAAAACCTCCTGTAAGGTTCTTTTCTGTTCAGGGTCTTTTAGCAATAGGTAAATGCGGTACGCTATTACGGTAAGGCATTACGGTAGCGCTCCTCATTTCCGGTGACAGTGCGTCCGCCGAACGACAGGTCCTTCCTTAACAACGCGTAGGCTGACAAGCCACAATGAGGCGGGACCGCCCGACATTAATTTTTGAAACAGATCTTGTGTTTTCTTGGGTGCCTTCACTGGGTAAAAGGTCAACGACATAGAGGAAGGAGGAGTGGCGTTGTAATACCATACCGTATTGGCGTGTTGTATTTCTGTAACTTGCTAAAGAAAAGCCTAGCAGGTCTGATGATTGTTTCAGCGTTTCGCCACTACTGCAAGGTACGCATGTGTTTTTTTTTCAACTTAGAATATTTGTTCTCGTAAAGAGTGAGAAGTAGCGAGACATAAATAATAAACGTTCGTATTTCAGGATATAGTATGGGCAATACCATTCACCCTTAGTGATCGGTGAGTGGCGCTTGCTTCAATAGTTGCTGGAGAAAGGACGGTGACACTTACTCTTTCAAGATTGCACACACGACCGTGATTTTGGATCCCTTTTGGCACTTCTTTTGAAGCTCGATTCTGAAATCCTTATCGCGCGCATTCAATGGTTCCTGCGATTCCAAGAGAAGAAAAAAGGCGAAATCGACAATAAGTTCGTTTATACATACAGGGTATGCCAGGTAACTTTAGCCAGAGCTTAAAAATATGCCAGCCCAAGCAATTAAGACGCGACCACGTGCATGTTGCTCACCGTTGGCTGGAGTTAGTCAGACTATTTTTGTGTTCTCAAATATTGTTTAATTAGATATGTCTAATTAACTAACTTTTCAAGAAACGAAGATCGATAAAATATTTCAATGAGAAAGTTGTAGATCGGTTTGCAAAACAACCGATTAGGCATGGACAGCTTCGAACTTTATATCTGTTAGGTATTAGTGTTTATCTGCTAATTACAAATACCCGCGAAATACAAAAAATACCACGTGACAAACCCGCTCGTGCGCCAGTGCGCACAATGATGTTAGGGCTCCTTAACGTTCTGCGTACAAACGACCATAGCATTTGCCCCTATGTGCTGTCTCGGCAGGGCCGCTACGATGGTGGTGGCTTTACGATGAAGGCGTTTTGCTACCGGCCGCAAAAACGATTACAGCTGTGACTGCTTATCGCTTAGAAGTGTGGCAGCTTGGGCTAGTTGGTATGGCATGACGATAGTTATAGGGCGAGAACAAAACGACGACACAGAGACAAGAAGGACGCGTCTTTCGTGTCCTTCTTGTCTCTGTGTCGTCGTTTTGTTCTCGCGCTGTAACTATCGTCTTGCTTATCGCTGTCATGAACCGGTGTGAGGGAAGCGTGTCGTAACCGAGGCTGCAGCGACAGAGGGATCCACTTACGTTGAATATAAGGTGAAAGCCGTATTCGCTTCGCGCTTGGGCGACCACCATCCGCTGCTGCATTGTCAGATTCGAGGGAACACCGGGAATCTGGGCCATCTTTCGTGGAGGAGGGTTTTAAGTGACGCTGCCGTATGCCTTGGAATTGAAAGGGCTTCGGCGGTTGCCTACGATTCGTTGAAAGAGGAAACGGTTGATGGTCAGCGGCCTGCATATATAAAGAAAAACTTGTATAAAAAACTGTTCAGATTGCTATTTCGTACATGTATATATATAAATTTCTATGTATGAATCGAAACTGAGGGCCAAACTATAGCTTGATGCCAAGGATTGCGTTTCGTAATGCATTTATCGATTCTTGTATTTTTTTCATCTTTTGCAAAAACAATTATATTTTCAAAATTCAAACAAAGTATTGGTACTATGTTCCTTTAGTAGCATTTCCTTCTTCATAACTTTTCGTTAGATAGTCCGCATCTTATGAACAGAAGAAACACAACTTGAAGATTATCTCGACTCGAATGACAGTTCCGAGAAGGGTTGAACGTATTTTTAGTTCGTCCCATGATAGTCCCAGTCCCGTTTAAACCTGCAGATAACATCACCTGTGCTTTCCTTGTCATGGTATAGTTGTCCAATCGAAATAAAAAAAAAATAAACGAAAAAGAATTACGCTTCTTTCCATTCCTCTTCTCGTAATAAAAACCGGTATCGGAGAAGTGTATGTCCATCCGCCCCTTCAATTTTAACGCGAGAGCGTTACAGAACTCGTTTCTCGGAAATTCCGATGGTGGTGTCGGCGTCGTTGGTTGTGAGCGAGAAATCATCGTCTTTGTGTGACCGAAAAATTAAGAAAGATGCAAATAAAATAATTTAAAAAAATCTGTGGCTGATGGGACATCGAACCCACGGTTAGTTTACATGGCAAGCGGATGTTCTGCCATGCAGTCAAGGCTCTGCTTTTTTTCTTTAATGCGTAGAATCGATACCAGTAATCGTGAACAACGCACAACATAATTGATCAGAAGTCATGCAAGCACACACAAGCGTCAGGAACAGGAAGCCACTCCAGAACGGTGTCAAAAGTCTCAACAACACTGCGCACTTGAGCAACTTCTTCTCGGAAGGCATGCAGACCTCATCGACCGTGCTGGCTCGGCGTGTCTATCGATCATGCGAAGTTTTCCATGGTGAATAAAGTCCCAACAACGTAGAATGATCGTGCGGAGTATTATCGGTCAGGCTCTTTTCTGATTGTTCGTTTCAGAATGTCCCGAAAAAATAAAATGCGTCACGAAATTGATTCGAACAATGCTCTATCACCTCAGGTTGATTGCAAAGCCTACAATTTACTGTCCAGGGCACATACATTGATTTTT